GGTGTGTCGTGTGGGGTGTGTCGGTGCTGGGCGTGTGGTCGTGCTGGGGAGTGGTCGTGCTGGGTGGGTCGTGCTGGGTCGGGGTGTGGTCGTGCTGGGGGTGGTCGTTGCTGGGGGTGGGTCGTGCTGGGAGGGTGGTCGTGCGGGGCGTCGGTCGTGCTGGGGCGTGGTCGTGCTGGGGCGCGGTCGTGCTGGGGCGTGGTCGTGCTGGGGCGTGGTCGTGCTGGGGTGTGGTCGTGCTGTGGTGTGGTCGTGCTGTGGTGTGGTCGTGCTGGGGTGTGGTCTTGCTGGGGTAGGGTCGTGCTGGGGTCGGGTCGTGCTGGGGTGTGGTCGTGCTGGGGTATGGTCGTGCTGGGGTGGGGTCGTGCTGGGGTGGGGTCGTGCTGGGGTCTGGTCGTGCTGGGGTGTGGTCGTGCTGGGGCGTGGTCGTGCGGTGGGGTCGTGCATTTCGCTCGAGACATCCTGCCAAAATTCCAGGAAATCGTACAAAAACAAACGAACTAGTCGAGACATCATCGAAATTCCTTCGCGCGGGGCGCTTTTCCGCGTCGCGGTCGGCTCTGCAAAACCAGCGTTTCGCTTGAGACATCCTCAGCAAATTCTGAAAACAAGCGTTTCGCTCGAGACATCCTCAACTATGCAAAACCAGCGTTTCGCTCGAGACATCCTCAAGAAATTCTGAAAAACAAGCGTTTCGCTCGAGACATCCTCAAATTTTAATTCGCCGGCCTCCTTCGACCTCGTTATTTATCAGGGAAAAAATTCGCCGGCCTCCCTCAAGTTGGCACCGGGGGACAGGTTTACCTACTAAAAGAGAACCCTGGGCCAAAGCCCTTTCCGGGAAAAATGTCAAAATCGAATGTCCAAACAACAAATAAAACACAGGGTTTCGCAACACGGGTTTTCAAACGAAGCATGCGCGCGCGCTCTTCCGAGTTCTCGAGAAAACCATAGCATTTCCAATATTATCGGAAGATACTACGACCAAACGGGCTTCGCGCGCGCGCGCATGCGCGGGCTGGCGCGGCCGCAGAGATGCACCAGCCAGCGCCGAGCACTCATCGCAATCGCCGCCGCATGAGGTTCGCAAACCAAGTTGCGGGTGGGTCCGGCTCCAGTTTTATACCTCGTAGAGCTCTTCGGCATCGATGAGCTAGAGGAATTCCGGCGCGGGGTGGAGCTAGGATTCTGCGTCGAAGAAGAGACGCGTGCTGCGGCAACTCTAGCTGGATCGATCTGTGGAAACCACGGGGCCCCAGTCCGGTCGGAATCGCCTCGACGTGAAAGAATGCTACGCCAGGACCTCAGGGTATACACCTTCGTCCTGGGCTGGGGTTGTCAGAAGCGGCGCGGGTGTGCATCCATCAGGAAGCTAAAAACCATATCGACGTCACGCTGGTCGAGCGACCATTTTGAGCAGGAGAAGCGCCACGATGTTGCACAGGAGGCGAATCAGCAGCACGCGAAGTCCGAAAGACGACGTGCGCGCGCAGATACTCTCCATCCCTCCCGAACGAGGTGCGGCACCCCTCCCTGCCGAGGGGGAACGCTCGGCGGGGCCCAGCTCAGGGGCGGCACGAAGTCCATGGGAAAAAAACATGATGGACCCACGAACCCGGAAAGGGATATAGACATGTGGAGCATGGACACGTTTTCATGATACCCAACTGGGCAACACCTCACGAAACATCCCACGAGACACCTCACGAAACAGCCCACGAGACACCTCACGAAACATTCCACGAGACACCTCACGAAACATTTCACGAGACACCCCGCGAAACATTCCACGAGACACCCCACGAAACATTCCACGACGACAGGCAACCACTCAACCAAGGCGGTGTGGTCGTGCTGGGGAGTGGTCGTGCTGGGGTGTGGTCGTGCTGGGGGGTGGTCGTGCTGGGGGGTGGTCGTGCTGGGGGGGTGGTCGTGCTGGGGGGTGGTCGTGCTGGGGCGTGGTCGTGCTGGGGCGTGGTCGTGCTGGGGCGTGGTCGTGCTGGGCGTGGTCGTGCTGGGGCGTGGTCGTGCTGGGGTGGGGTCGTGCTGTGGTAAGGTCGTGCTGGGGTGTGGTCGTGCTGGGGTGTGGTCTTGCTGGGGTGGGGTCGTGCTGGGGTGTGATCGTGCTGGGGTGGGGTCGTGCTGGGGTGTGGTCGTGCTGGGGTGTGGTCGTGCTAGGGTGGGGTCGTGCTGGGGTGGGGTCGTGCTGGGGAGTGGTCGTGCTGGGGGGTGGTCGTGCTGGGGTGTGGTCATGCTGGGGCGTGGTCGTGCTGGGGTGGGGTCGTGCTGGGGTGGGGTCGTGCTGGGGTGGGTTCGTGCTGGGGTGCTCCGCACCCTGTGATTTATCGATCGGGTCGTGCTGGGTGTGGTCGTGCTGGGGTGTGGTCGTGCTGGGGTGTGGTCGTGCTGGGGTGTGGTCGTGCTGGGGTGTGGTCGTGCTGGGGTTTGGTCGTGCTGGGGTGTGGTCGTGCTGGGGTGTGGTCGTGCTGGGGTGTGGTCGTTGTTGGGGTGCTGGGGCGTGGTCGTGCTGGGGCGTGGTCGTGCTGGGGTGGTCGTGCTGTCGTGGTCGTGCTGGGTGTGGTCGTGCTGTGGTGAGGTCTTGCTGCGGTGGGGTCCTGCTGGGATGTGGTCGTGCTGGGGTGTGGTCCTGCTGGGGTGTGGTCGTGCTGGGGTGGGGTCGTGCTTGGGTGGGGTCGGGCTGGGGTGTGGTCGTTCTGGGGTGTGGTCGTGCTGGGGTGTGGTCGGGCTGGGGTGGGGTCGTGCTGGGTCGGGGTCGTGCTGGGGTGTGGTCGTGCTGAAGTGTGGTCGTGTTGGGGTGTGGTCGTGTGGGGGTGTGGTCGTGCTGGGGCGTGGTCGTGCTGGGGTGGGGTCGTGCTGGAGTGGGGTCGTGCTGGGGTGTGGTCGTGCTGGGGTGGTCCGCACCCTGTGACTTATCGATCGGGTCGTGCTGGGGTGTGGTCGTGCTGGTGCTGGGGTGTGGTCGTGCTGGGGTGTGGTCGTGCTGGGGTGTGGTCGTGCTGAGGTGTGTTCGTGCTGGGGTGTGGTCGTGCTGGGGCGTGGTCGTGCTGGGCGTGGTCGTGCTGATGTGTGGTCATGCTGTGGTGAGGTCGTGCTGGGGTGTGGTCGTGCTGGGGTGTGGTCTTCCTGGGGTGGGGCCGTGCTGGGGTGTGGTCGTGCTGGGGGGTGGTCGTGCTGGGGGGTGGTCGTGCTGGGGGAGTGGTCGTGCTGGGAGGTGGTCCTCAGAATTCTATAACACAAAACAAGCGTTTCGCTCGAGACATCCTCACCATTTTCTGAAAAACAAGCGTTTCGCTCGAGACATCCTCATATTTTAATTCGCCGGCCTCCTTCGACCTCGTTATTTATCAGGGAAAAAATTCGCCGGCCTCCTTCAAGCAGGCACCGGGGGACATGTTTACATACTAAAAGAGAACCCTAGGCTTAAGCCCTTTCCGGGAACATACAACAACACACAGTGCGTGCTGTTTCCTTCAGTGTGTGTGTGTGTGTGTTATTGTGTTTGTGCGTGTGTGGTTGTGGTTGTGTTTGTGTTTGTGTTTGTGGTTGTGTTTGTGCTTGTGCTTGTGTTTGTGTTTGTGTGTTGTGTTTGTGCTTGTGTTGTGTTTGTGTTTGTGTTCGTGTGTGTCTGTGTGCGCGTGTGTTTTGTTCCACGTTCTTTCTCCTAATTTCCACAGCGCATGTTCCCCAATCAGTGCTTGCACTGAAGGGGTTCCGCTGGGTTCCCGGGTTCCCGGTTCTGGGTTCCTGGTTTCCTAGTTATTGGTTCCGGGCCGATGTCGGTGGGTTCCGGGTTCCGGGATTCCTGGTCGATCGCCTGATCGATCCCTTTATCGATCCCTTTTCAAACCGTCCATGTACTGTTTTTTCTTTCTCTGGTGTAATTTGTTTGCATCATCTTTTTTCCAGTATCTGCTTGAGGAACGGAGCCTGGCACAGGACAGCTTTGGCAGGCGGCAAAGGCCCGCGGCAAGAGAGAATTCTGGAGGCAACGGGCTGGCATTGGGAGCCAGAAAGACTATGGAGCAGGGCTGGAACGGAACTGCGCGATGCAAACTCGTTCAACAACGTACATGCATCATCTTTTTTCCAGTATCTGCTTGAGGAACGGAGCCTGGCACAGGACAGCTTTGGCAGGCGGCAAAGGCCCATCTACAACAAAGCACAGTACCCATCAGCAAGCACTGCACTGGCTTAGCCGTGAAGCAACATCCATTTTCGGGAGACCATCCTGGCGACAATCGTTTGCGAGAACATTCGAGCAAGTTGCCTGCAGATGGCGTCGGGATAGGCGGCCTTTTGGTGAGTGCGGAAGTGAGTGGCACCGCTTTCCTTCCCAGACAGCTCAAGATGAGGCTGACCAGAAAACTCACACACACACCACGGCCATGACACTTCATAGACAAGAGAGAAGGGGAGGGGCGACAATGCAAGAATTGGAACTTAGTGCGAGCTCGAAAGGGCCGACCTGCAGCACACTGGTCAACAATTGCTTCGAAGAAGAAAGGAGAGTGATGCCGGCGAGTTCTGTCTGGAAAATGCCAAAGCCAACTGCTGCGGGGATTCTCTTCACCGACAGGAATGCCAAACTTTGCAGCTAGCTGCCAGATCTGCCCCGCTCGGGAGGCGAGCAGGTTGCCAAGCTCAAGCTTGGCCTGATCGGCAGCAGCTAAGTTTGGCAAGCCAAAGATGTGAGAGCCGTCGCGAAGGCGCCGAGGCATGCGAGAAGTGGGGCCGCCTCGTCGCGCTTGAGAAAGCGACCCACAAGGCGCGCCCATGAAAACAGCCTTGACTTTGCCGCTGGCAATCCAGCCGCGAAGCACAGCCCACGGCGCAGGCTGGGCAAGATCAAACTCTTGCCCGTGCAGGACATCCCACTCAATGACTGCATGCCCTGCCTGTCGCAGGCGTCGCGCAAGGTTGCCAGAGCCACTGAAGAGTTCAATGAAGATGCGGGAGTCATGACCTTTGCTACTCATCACCGCTGAGGCGAGTACAGCTTGAAGGCGGCGTCGAGTCCAGCGGCCAAACGTTCGATCTCCTGCCGCTGGTGGGCTGGAATCTTCATCCACTCGATCGACACTCGCCCGTGCTTGTCGTAGCGCCGCACGCTGTTGAAGGCGCGCCAGTTTCCTCGCTGCTGCACCTCCATTAGCGCGCGGCTGGCCGTCAGGCGGTCGTGGCTGGCGCCGCCGTGCCTGAGGCTGTAGAGCGTGCCTGCTAAACAGCTGGCCCCCACAGCCTCGAGCGCCTGGCCAAACCGCCGCTGGAGGAGGTTGTAGTCGAAGTCCCACAGCGGGTGCCAGGAGCCCAGGCGGGAGTCGCGTAGGCGCGCCAAGGCCCAAGCCAGGACCTGCTGGCGCGGGAGGTCGAGCACAACGGTATGGTCCATCTCGCCTGTCTTGCCCGGTTGCTGCAACTCTGCAGCATGCACCACTACTGACATGTGTGAGCCCGCGCTGGTGGCCGAGCCGAAAGGGCCGGTGAGCTGGGCGGCCCGCAGCGCCAGCGCCTCCGAGGGTCTCAGGTAGCCCTCGAACATCAGCATGACGCACAAGGCGGTCGCAAACTCGCCCTGGTGCCCAAGCCAAGCTGCCGCTGCGCGAACCACAAGCTCTGGAAGAGGCGGGCGCGAGCCTGGCGGATGCAGGCGCTTCCAACCCGCCAGCGAGTGCGCGAGCTGCGGGAAGCATCTCTGCAAGGGCGCCACGTGGAGCTGCGGGAGCCCCCACAGCACCGCGGCGCCAAGCCTTGCAGCCGTCGCCCGCGCCACTCCCTGGTCGAAGGCCCACAGCAGGAAGTCGGCCAGCGCTGCGTCCCAAGCAGCCACGGGCCAGTCGGGCAGGGCGTCCACCATGAGCCAGCCTGCCAGCAGCCGCAACACCTTCAGGTAGAGCACCTGAGTGGACGGCCGCACCTTGTTGGCTGCCAGAAAGCCCTGGCGGGGCAGCAAGCGGGCCCGCTCCTGGGCGGAAGGCGGCGGCAGCTGCACTCTGCTCCTTGCGGATCCGCCACCACCAGCGACTCGCTTCCGGGTCGGCGAAGCGCCTCCCACCTCGGGCAGGCTTGGCTGGCCGAACGGCGGAGCTGCCTGGAGCGTGCGGACCTCCTGCATGGCCACAGCCGCAGTGACGCCTGAACTGGTCCCCGTGCTTGGGCCAAGACGGCCCCGGACCAGACCGGAACCGTCTTGACGGGCCATCAGCAGGGTTGAGCTCTGAGGGGATCCATCTGAACGTGACCTTGAGATTGCAGGCGACCGATATGGCATAGGAACAACGGCAGCCTGACAAGAGACCAAAGTCGGATGCACGACCCTTTTCATGGGCGCAAATCATCGACATGTTGTCGCCCAAGCCCAGCAAGCGATGCCCGTGACATCTCGAATTGCGAGAGGCGCGCCGCAGCCAGAGAAGCCCTGCTGAGCTCTCCAGCCTGTGGATAGTACTTTGGCGCCTCCATCTGCATGCAACAGCCGTGATCCAGGTCGCCTCACGCAGCAGCTCTGCGCTCACCTCGGCGAAACCCGCCGCGCGCCCGAGCAGGAGTGCGGCTGGGTCAGAGAGCTCGATGCTGTCGGCGGCCAGAGCAGCGTCCCGCGGCGCCACCAGTGAGGCGAGGGGCCCGCGAAAGCGCAGCTTCTCCGGCTGCCCGCCAGCGGCCTGCACCGCGCTCAAAGGCCAGCGCGCAGCGCAGACTCCCGCGCCCCAAGGCGACGCGTCAAAGGCACCTACCTCAGAGTGCCAAGGCCTCTTCATGTCGGCGAACACCGTGGGCAACAACGCAAGCACCCACCTGAGCTCGCGTCGGCAGCTGGGCCACAGCGGATGCGCCCTGTCGTAGGTCGAGCGGATGAAGACGTAGACCGCACTGAGGAGGCTGAGAGCCTCACGCCGCAGCAGCAGCAGCGCGACCACGTGCCCCACGAGCCTCTCCAACTGGCGCCCCGTGATACGCCTTCCCGGCTCCAGCAAGTGCGAGATGCAGCCGTGCACCCTCCAAAACTTCCTGGGTGCGGGGCGCCACCTGGCGGCCTTAGTCCAGCGTGAAGCCGAGGAGGACGACGTCCAAGTCAAGCGACGCCCTGACGCCCTCACTGGTGAACGAGCCAAGCATGTCGTTGACAACCTGCAACGCTGTCTCGCGACTGGTGCTGATGGCCGCAAAGTTGTCTATGTACAAGACCTTGGCTGCAGCTGAGCTGTCCGAGAGGCACGTCCCAGGCCGCTTGTCCACCAACCACTGGCTGTTCGGAGAGACCGAGGCCAGCACGTTCAGGTGGGCAGACTGCACAAAGTGGACGGCCCAGTTCCATCCCATGGGAACGACTCGCACGCGGAAGGCTATCCTGGGCCGCGCCGCAAGCTCAGGCCCCAGCGCCTCACGCAGGCGGGCAGGCAGCATGCGAGTCGCCAGGCTCGGCAGGCAGAAGTAGTTCCTGGCCCATGCGGGCAGCACGCACTGGTAAAAGCAGACCTCCACGTCACCCGCAGCCAAGTGCACCTCCTCGCCGGGCGTGGCGTCGCCGGAGGCCAAGTGCGTGCACTCGGGCGCCCTGAAGTGACAGTTCGCCCTCCTGGCGTCGAAGATGAGCCTCAGCTTGTCATCTTTGCGAGGCACAAAAAAGACGCCAGTCTCCTCCTTCCGATCCAGCTCATAGTCCAAAACTTCGACGATCCCTGCATCGTAAAGCTCGAGCAGGAACCGTCCGTAGTCAATGCCCCGTTGGGCCAGCTTGCCGTCCACGTAACACGTGACGTCAGCCTCCTCCAGAGCAGCAGTAGCCTCCTGCTCCGAGCGCAATAACCCGTGCCCGGACTCCAGCGCCGACTGCAGGTGCGGGGGCAGTAGCCGAACAAGATCGACACGCCCAGCACCGCCAGAAAGAAGGGAGGCCCTCCCGCGCTGGTAGCCGGCTCTCGCCCCGATGGCTGGCTCATCAGCATAGCCAGGTCGAAGCCCCAGAAGCGCCTTGAACGCCTCCTGGTTGGTGCAATCCTCAGTCTTCGGCGGGACCGCGGCGTAGACCTCACCCAGATGCTGCAACGCGGAGCGCTGCGCCAAGCTAAGCCGCCCGCCGCTGCCAGCCAACCGCCCACCCCCACCCAGCTCGTTGAGCGCCGCGACGCCTTCCAGCATCCAGCGTTCCTGGCGCCTGCAGCGCGCGGCCCTGCGCCGCTGCCCCAGCGAGAGCTCGCCGTCGAGGGCCGAGAACCCCTTCAAACACTGGAGCGCCTCCGAGCTGAGCGGGATGGGCAGCGCGTCCCTTTGCGCGAGACTGTCATCGCCAAAACCCAGCGAGGTGGCATCGTCGTTCAGCACGCCTCGCCCCCCCTGCAAACTCGCGCCGAGGCCGGGGGCGCCCCCGGCGCGAGGGGGCGCCTCAGGCGCCACGGCCGCGCCCGCGGCCGCGCGCCCTGGCCTTGGCGCCCGCCGATGGTTCGCCAGAGGCCGCGCCGCCGTCGACGCCGCGCTCCAGCAGCCTTTCTTCTCGCCCCTTCCTGCGCTCCTTGAGGATGGCACTTTCCTCTCGGAGCTTCTCAGCCACCCAGCTCTCCAAGGCGGGGCAGACAAGCGCCGAGCCGCGGCTCCTGTCCTTCCCGAGGAAGATGGATCGCTCATCGAGCCAGGGTGCAGCGTCCTGACCAGCCTCGGCCTCGCGCAGGCGCACAGCTCCTCCCAGAGCTGGTAGCGGCGGCAGAGGATCTCCACCACCACCAGCTCGCCAGCGTTGAGCTGGTCGTAGGTGGTGAGCTCCTTGAGCACCTCGGAGATGAAGTGGTGGTCGTCCACGCCCGAGTCGGAAGCTGTGAGCCCCTGGATCGACCTCCACCAGAAGTGCCTCTGCAGCGGCGTGTAGCCCGCCTCCGAGATCTTCTCGAGCAGCCAGGCCGCGGTCCTCGGCCCCTTGATGCGCCAGTCTGGGAAGGGCGTGGTGGACATCTTGGCCACGGCGTCGTGGAAGGACCTGGAGCGGCCACCAGCTGGCGAGTAGAGCACCGGCAGCGTGCGAAGGTCTCCCCCACTGCTGGAGAGCGCTGCCGCCCCTGCCTCCAGGGTGTTGGCCACTGCGACCGCAAGCGAGACGCCCGACGCCAGCACCACGACCCCGCGATCGCCCAGCACGACCTGCGGCTGGCCATGAGCTCCCAGGAGCTCAGGCGGGATAGGGGCCCCGACCGTGAAGGCCCCACGCGTCTCCGCCGCGAGCCAGACCGCGTCTGCTGGCGGCGCTGCGGGCCGCGGCGGTGCTGGGGCGAGGAGAGCGCCTGCCGCGGGTGCCCTAAGCGGCGCGGCCGGCGCCGCCGCCAGAGCGCCGGCCGCAGCCGCGCCTCCAGCCGCTGGCCCGGCGGGCCTCGCGGCGGCCGCCAGCGCCGCAGGGGCAGGCACCTCGGCAAGCGCCTCCGCCTCGCCGTCGGCGAGCACCCCCTGGTGCGCCGCTGGGGCCGGCAAGCCCTCCTCCTCGCGGATGTCCAATGCCATCTGCGCCGCCTCGTCGCACAGCTGCTGCAACTCGGCGCTGAGGCGAGCGTTGTCCACCCGCAAGATCTGCCCCTGTGGCCTCGGCACGGGAAGGCCGCCCCGAGGACCCAGCGGCAGCAGGCGGAGCGCCTGGGACATATCCTCATCATAGATGTCCCAGTGCGCGGTGAGCACCACGAAGCGGAAGTCCTGAATGTGCGCCAGCATGATCCTCTCATGCCAGTAGTCATCGCGCGGATCGTAGTAGGCGAGGGCCCTCGACCCCACCTGCAGGCTCTGCAGGCAGCGCAGCGTGCGTTCTGCTGGGCTGCGGGCCGCCATCCAATCCTAGTCTCGGCGCACGCGAGGCCCTCTTCCACAAGAACCCGGCTGTCGCTGCCGAGAGCGCACCTGCGAGCAGCCCCGCAATGAAGGTGCCCAGCGCGAACGACGGTTCGGGGCACTGAGGCAACGGACAGTTCGGGCACGCAGGGCAATTGAGCTGCTCTGGACCGCAGCGCTCCAGCTGACGTCCCAGCAGACTCACGATGTCGCTGCTGACCTGGCAATCCGCGATGCAATGGCAGTCGGAACAGCGTGCAACTGAAAGGAGGGGGGCCCACGGAGCGACGGCCTGCAAGCCCCGCAGGGCCAAGTCCATGAGCCAGAAAGACTATGGAGCAGGGCTGAAACGGAACTGTGCGATGCAAACTCGTTCAACAACGTACAATTGTGTTTGTGTGTCTTTCCACAAACCTGGACTCAGCACTACGTCGCCGACAATCGGCGACAGGCCCTCGACCAGCGGGGCCGCACGCTCCTGGGCGGGGTGGGCGCTATCGGCCCCCTCTCGGCGACGAGCGGGCCCCCGACCTCCGACGTCTTGACGTTTTCCATGCGGGGTCCCCGAACGGAGTCGGGACATCGCGCCGCACTGCCGATGCATCGGCCACGTCGCCGATGCATCGGCGCGGAGATCATCGGGCTCTGCATCGAGCCTTATCGCCGACACATCGGTGTTGCGGGGCGATCCACAGAGCCCACCTGCTGCTCGAGGAACTCCGAGCTCAGATAACATCTCACCGGCAGGGGAACTGCTGCTCGAGCCCACCTGCTGCTCGAGGAACTCCGAGCTCAGAGCTCAAATAGCAGTCCTGGGGACTGACGAGGGGCCCCAGAGGCCAACTGTGGCCAAAAGCTGGCCGTCGTGACCTCTTCACGACGCGAGCATGGCTGAGCCGCTTCGGGGTCGACGTTCCCCCCGTGAGCCTGTTCCCCCCCCCCATCGCTGCCCCTGATCCCCTGGCCCCCCCCCGATCGTCGATGCATCACCGGTGCATCGGCGATTCATCCGCGGCGTCGGTGATGCATCGGCGCCGTCGGCGTGAAGAGAATCGGGCTCCACATCGAGCCGCGACGCCGATGCATCGGCGATGCGCCGCGACCCTCCCGGGAGGCCTGCAGGCTGGCTGCCCCTCCCCTGCCCAACTACAAAGCACCCCCCCCCCCGGCGCTCCGAGTGGCACGAGGGCATCGACGCCGCGCACGTGGAGCCCGCCCGCGAGTCGATGCCGCGCTCGTCCCCGTCCTTCGCGGGCGGGGCCCTCGATGGCGCCATCGCGTCCATGCGTGGGAGCCGCCGCTGAACGCGGCCGGGCGCGGGCGCAGGGGGCGGGCGCGGCGCACCGGCCCTGCGCCAGAGGGAGGCGCCCGGGGAGGGAGGAAAGAAACAGCGCAACACCACATAGATTGCACCAGGATTCACGAAGGTGATCATTACAACTATTGTATGATACCTTGTGAGATGCAGGGAGGTCAAAATCAGCTACAAAATCTGCACCACTCGTAACACACATACATTATTTATCACGCGAGTGCTCAAAGTCTTGATAAGCAGGGGGAGGGAGGGAGCTCAGTTGGCCCCGGGAACGACAGGGCCGTTTCCCTGCAGTGGCAATTGGTCTGTTTCTCTGCCAGTTCTGGCGCCTTTTTGTTCCCCGTCCCGTCGCCGTTTTTGTTGCCAGTTCCGCCGTAGCCGCTTTTGGTACCACTTCCGGTCACCGTTCCTTTACCGTCTCAGCTTTGAAGCGGGCCTGAAGTTTCCGCGTCCAGGAGGGACGGACTGGACTTGACTAAGCTGCCACCAGGCACCAGGCGGAACCCCAGCAAACCCAACTCCTTAGGGACATGTTTGCGCGCGTTGACCTCGAACAGTAAATTTTAGCCAGCATGTCCGCCGATCCAGCGTGTGAGCTTCAAAGACCCTCAGATATAGCCTGAGCCTCAGTTCTTGAGCTTCAGCTCTGCTGGGGGGGGGGGGGCCGGGGTGGCTTTGCCGGGGTTAAGGGGGGGGGGGGGTCCGAGTCAATTGTGATGGCAAAATCGGAGCTCCAGCTCACTCCGGGTCGGCCCCTCGCCCCGGAGAGCTCAAACGCGGGCTCATAGAAAAAAAAACCAGCGGCCGCCCAGAAGGCCCAAGAGGGCCCTAAGTGGCCGAAACATCGCTCCACGACACCCAATATGTTCCTCAGACGGCTCCAGAAGCCTCCAACGTGCCCTCCCGACACCTCCTAAGAGTGCCCAAAAACAGAAAATCTGTCCCATTCCCTGAGGAAAACGTACATGTTTGGAATTTTCGCTTCTTCGGCCTTCGCAGTGTCCAGCACGGCCCGAGAGACCCCCAAAACAGGCCCAGAGGCTCTCAAGAGGGCCCAAGTCGGCCCAAGAAGGGCCCAAGACGGCCCGGAAGGCCCCCAAGACAGCCCAAGCGGGCCCCAGGACGGGCCCAAGAAGCGCCCAGGAGGGCTCCATGACGGCCCCAGAAGGGGCCAAGACGGCACAAGAGGCGCCCAGGAGGCACCAAAATGGCCCTTGGAGTCCCCAAGAAACCCCAAGAGGCTCCAAGTAGCCTCCAGCATGCCTCCTGCATGCTCCCCAAGAAGCCCAAAAGGCCCCCAAGAGGCTCAACAATCACCTCCAAGACGCCTCCCAAGGAGGCCTCGAAGATGCGAAGCACAGGCCCCTCAAGAAGCCCACGCAATGCCTCCAAGCTGTTTCCAAACCACTTACGGTTGAAAAAGCGCGTTGAAAAACAAGCCATTCTCGAGCCGAATGACGAGCGGGGCAAGTTAGGTACACTCGCGTCATATCTGACGCCCTACCCTTCCATACCATCCCTTAGGAGGAACTGGAGTGGGAGGAACGGGAAGAGCATGAGGGCCACGGGGGAGGGAGGAGGGACAAGGAGGGAACGATAAGGACGCTGAAAGACTCGGACCCAGACTCTTTACTGCCTACAACACTGAAGCGCACGCAGCGCGGAGAAAGGAAAAGATGACCCCGCGCTGGAACGAAAGCGTCCTTCTGACGGCGGGATCGTCCCGGATCGGCGGCACCGGCCGGAGGCCTCTACAATATCCCAAGCACTGGGTGTTTGCAGCTTATGCAGTGCAATCTATGTTCTGCGATAAAGAGTCCTAGGGTACAATAGCGTAAAGCCAAGAACATAACATTAGGTAAAGACAGTTTGACACTTTGAACATCAAAGTCGACAGTCACGTAAAGCAAAGCAAATGAAAGGAGCCTCAAGCATTGCAAAGCAAAGTAACACGGAGTCGAGTAAACATAAGCAGGGTAAGGCAAAGCAAAGCAAAGCAGAGACAAGCAAGTAACATAAAGTAAAGCACATCAAAAGAAAGCATAGCAAAGCAAAACAAGGCGGCGACGGGCGGCAAGGGCGGCGACGGGCGGGATTCGCGAGAACGGGCGGCGACGGCGACGGGCGGCGACGGGCGGCACGAGCGGCGACGGGCGGCAATCACGGAGACGAGCGGCGACCGCGACGGGCGGCACGGGCGGCGACGGGCGGCAATGAGCCCGAGATGGTTAACGTAAGTAAGATACCCTGCAACTGTTTGGGGAATGGCTGCGCTGTGGATGCGTAAGATGTTTAGTATGGAAGGTAGTCTAGGTGGTGCGGTCAATGTGGTGCAAGCTATAAGGTGAAAGCTATGCGGTGCAAGCTATGCGACGCAAGCTATGCTGATCAAGCCAAGTGGTGCAACATATGGTTTGAAAGCTACGCGGTGCACGATGTGGTACAAGCTACGTTGTGTAAACTTTGTTGCGCAAAATATGCGGTGCAAGCCTTTTTTTCAAGACGTGTGTTGTGAGCTAAGTGGAACAATGTATATGGTTTCAGATACGCGGTGGAGGCTGTCGGATAAAAAGCTATGTGGTGCAAGGAGGTGCTGGTCAACCAAATACCACTGATAATCATGCCCTGGGGACAATGAAACCCTGGATTCTGGCAGGGATAGAAGGCATGCTGTGCCCAGCAAGTCTCAACTAAACAGACGCAACGTACTAACCGAAGAGAAGGGGGAAGGGCAGGAGGATGAGGATGAGGTGGCGTTGCTCGGAAGGTGATGTGTCAATTCCTGCCATTGGGTTACCCTACATCAACATACACAGCTCGCTCTGGCGGGGCTTCCCTGGAAGGGTGGGAGGAGCACGCCACGTGAGAAATCGAATGGTATACAGATACCCGTGGCGGACAAACGCGCAAACGAGCCAACAAGAATGTGGCCCCCGAGATAACACACTTCGGCCTCGCCGCCCCCTACCGCCGGCCAGACCGTCTTGACCGGAGATAATCAATTACGCGGTGCTCGCGGGGGTATACAATGACGAAAGCGGGTGGGCTCAGAGAGAGGGGGGAGGAAAACGAGGAGGAAAAGGAAGAGGACAACATTATCCGGAGCGCGAGGTTATGCGCCGCAGCATGTGATGCAAGCTGCGCGGTCGCCCACCGCATGCGGCGCCCACGCAAACACCCGCGGGCGGGCACGGGCGAGCACCAGGCGAAACATCCGCGCCGCCAACCACTGCACGAGACGCCCCCACCACCACCTCCTCCTCCTCCTCCTCCTCCTCCTCCTCCTCTCCTCCTCCTCCTCCTCCTCCTCCTCCTCCTCCCCCTCCTCCTCCTCCTCCTCCTCCTCCTCCTCCTCCTCCTCCCTCTCCTCCCTTTCCTCCCCTTCCTCCTTTTCCTCCTCTTCCTCCTCCTCCTTTCATTCTCCTCGAGGCGCCCACCAGGCTCCGCCAATCCCATCCAATCCGTGAAGGACACAAGTCAGTCACCGAGGACCATCCTTTGGAGCCACCATGGCCCCCAAAATAGCCGCCGAATTCCGAAGGGTTTGCGCGGCAATGTTTTACTCTTTGAGAACACGCAACGCTGGGCGCGTAGGCCAGCCTGCAATGCCTCCTGGCGAACATCCATTTTGAACCAACCATCACCACGGACGTCGCCATCATCACCGCCAAAACCACAAGAAAACAAATCTTACAATCATCGTCGGGCTGAGGGCAGGTCAACCTGCGTCGCCGCGCATGGAATCTTTGCCACAGCCGAGTGCTGCGAGCTCCCAAGAGCAAAACCGGCGAAATTGCCCTCTGAAAGGGCCGCCAGGAAGGCCGCCGAAAGGGCCGCCGAAATAGTCGCCGGAATCGCCGCCGAAATTGCCGCCGAAATCGCCGCCGAAATCGCCGCCGAAATTGGCACCGAACTTGCCGCCGAACTTGCCGCCGAACTTACCGCCGAAATTGCCGCCGAAATTGCCGCCGAAATAAATGCGAACTCCGCCAAAATAGCCGCCGAACTTCAGCCGCCAAAATCGCCTCCCAAATTCAGCCATCGAAATTCCCACTGCCCTGTCGCAAGCGAGATCACTGCTTTAGTAGGCGCGACGACGCCGCGGACACAGGCACAGAGTCACAGCCAGGGTCAAGTTCGGCATTTTTCGGCAGCGCAATCTGGAATTTCGGCGGAAATTTCGGCGGCAATTTCGGCGGCGATTTTGGCGGCAATTTCGGCGGCGATTTCGGTGAAGAATTTCGGCGGCGATTTCGGCGGCGATTTCGGCGGCAATTTCGGCGGCGATTTCGACGGCCCTTTCGGCGGCAATTTCGGCGGCCCTTTCGACGGCTCTTTCGGCGGCCCTTTCGGCGGCGTTGCTGTTGCCAGCAATCGACATTGGCTGCCGGGAGCTCTCGGCACTCGGCGGCCCCGGCGGGCCCTGAGAGGGCCCTCGAAGGGCCTCGCCAGACAAGCGTATGCGAAGTAGCTCAAGCCATGCGTGATGTCTACGCGATAGCATGCGCAACGTGCAAAACTAATGCCTCGAGTGAATTATGCCTCAGCGCGCCGCCCAAAGTGTGCGGGGAAACCACCGCGCGGCAGAGCGCGCCTGCACACTGAAACCCTATCTTTAAAAACTCAATTTCGCCTGGAATGGATTTCGGCGCGCGCCCTGTTCGTCTCCAAACAAGAAGCCAAAGCACCGCCTGGGGAGTACACGTACTTTCGCATACACCAATCCTTGCCAGCAGCTTCCTGGGTTCCGGCATCGGTGTATACACCCTGGAAGCTTGATGCACCAGATTGTCGTAAAATCGGGCCCCAAGATTACCCGGTGTCCACTCCGGCTGGCCTTGCGCACAGGATCGATGCCTGACGGCCCCGAGGGCCCGAAACTGGCCCTGCAGAGGCGAAACCGAGGAGAAGCATCCTGCGCGATGTTTACGCACTACCCAGATAACCCTGACCAATAAACACAAAGTCGCTAATGTCTTAAAACGGTTACAAAAAGCAATCAGCGGGACAACCGTTGAAAAAATGATTCACAACGCT